ATGATAACTCTCTCTCTTTTCTCTCTAACATACTCTCTCAATATTGTTGCTCTCGTTTACTATCTTCATACTTGTTCTTCATTTATTGCTTATCATTGGCCATAAAGAGCCTCCTTTAATTATATCACGACTGTTAACCCTTCCCCGACTGCCCCTAATAGCTCGAGCCCGAGCCCGGGAATCAACCTCGAGGCCCCAAACCAACCAGCTCGAGGTCCTGAAAAGCTAACTCATCGGTTCGATTATAGCTCGCATTTCGTCCTTAAACTCCATACACATAGTATCAACTGCTTAACAACTAGCATAAAAATAGATCACATATTTTTAGAGTCCCATCAACAAATTTAATTGCTATTACCATTTTCACGGTAAACAGTTTGGCGCCCACCGTGGGGCTAAAAATAATAGTGATTATTTTCTTGCAGGTTTCGTTACACAACGCAAGTTATCTTTCACACTTTTTCTTGTCCAAGATCTTCGATTTCAGGTTAATATGTCTGGCTCAGTAAACAGAGTTGAGAACGACGACCTCGAAAATCACGGAGAAAATGGTGTGGCTGTTCCAATTGTCGGTACGCCACCACGGAACCCGAGAACGCACCTGGACCGATTCTAGTGGACGCCGGCTCGCGCGACGCACAACAGATCGACAAAACCTTACGCACCGATAGGAGCATACAACAAGGAGACCAACAGGAAGCCCAAAAAACCCCAGCTCGGGAAGAACGGGAAGTTAGCCTTTATGTTATTTTTGAAATGTTGCAGGCACAACAGCTGGCTATCGCTCAGCTGCAAAGCCACCCAAAAACTCCCGGCACCATAGCACCGGGAACAACTCCCCCGGCGGAACAGGTATCGGAGAGATTGAGCAATAACGGTTCGATAGCCGACCCTGCTATTGTAAAAATGCTCGAGGATCTTACCAGAAGGATCGAGTCTGGCGAGAAAATGATAGCAGCCAACGACAAGAAGGTCGAAACTTACAACTCCAGGGTCGACCAAATCCCGGGCGCGCCCCCGGTCCTGAAAGGCGTAGACTCGAGGAAGTTCGTGCAGCGGTTGTTCCCGGAGGAAGCGGCTCCGGAACCCATTCCAAAGAAGTTCAGAATGCAGGAACTCCCACAATACAACGGGACCTCAGACCCCAACGAGCACGTGACCGCCTACACGTGCGCAGTAAAGGGCAACGACATAAAAGACGACGAGATCGAGTCCATCTTGCTGAAGAAGTTCGGGGAAACGCTCTCGAAGGGGGCCATGATGTGGTACCACAACTTAGGCCCCCCAACTCCGATAGACTCATTTGCCATGCTGGCTGACTCCTTCATAAACGGCACACGCCGGTGCCATCAAGGTAGTGACAAGGAAGTCTAACGTATCAAGACC